AATACTTTAATTGTCATCTCCAATACTTTGATTGTATTCATTTTGTTACTATTAAAAACTTACTATTAAATTTAATCTTGTTGCTTGATAAATTGAAAAAAATAGAACATCATTCATAACACCAATGTCGTTCTCGTTCCCAATCCCGATCCCAATCCCGTTCCCTTTCCCGATCCCAATCCCTTTCCCGTTCCCTTTCACGATCCCGATCCCGTTCCCTTTCCCGATCCCTTTCATGATCCCGTTCCCTTTCCCAATCCCGATCCCATTCCCATTCCCATTCCCCTTCCCGTTCCCGATCCCTTTCACGATCCCGTTCCCTTTCCCAATCCCGATCCCATTCCCGTTCCCGTTCCCGATCCCGATCCCTTTCACGATGCCGTTCCCTTTCCCGATCCCGATCCCATTCCCATTCCCTTTCCCGTTCCCTTTCCCAATCCCGATCCCATTCCCATTCCCATTCCCATTCCCATTCCCTTTCCCGTTCCCATTCCCGTTCCCGTTCCCCTCCCGCTCGCGCCGCTCCGCGCGCCGCTGGCGAAGGCACGCTGCGCCAGTGACGTCAGGCGGCGGGTGACGTCATCGCGCGGCGCGGGCAGGCGGCAGCAATGGCGGCGGTAGGAGGAGGAGGAGGAGGAGGAGCGGGAGCTGTGGCGGCCCCGCCGCGGGGCATCCGCGCCTGGCTGCGGAGCGCGTTCCGCTTCGCCACCGACCGCAACGACTTCCGCAGGTCGGGACCGGTAACGAGGTCGAGATGAGGGTGGGGATCGAGGCCGGGGCCCGGAGCCCGGTGTCTGTCCCGGCCCGTATCAGGGGCAGCGTGCCCGGCAGGAGGCGGCAGGGATTGTCCCTCAGTGCTGGGTCCCTGTGTCCAGTTCCGGCCCCTCAGCTCAGGGAGGACATTTTGGGGCTGGAGCGAGTCCAGGGAAGGGAGCGGAGCTGGGGAAGGGCCTGGAGAGTCCTGAGGGATTTGGGGAAGGGTTTGGAGAATCCTGAGGGATTTGGGGAAGGGTTTGGAGAATCCTGAGGGAGATGGGGAAGGGTCTGGAGAGTCCTGAGGGAGATGGGGAAGGGTTTGGAGAATCCTGAGGGAGATGGGGAAGGGTTGGAGAATCCTGAGGGAGATGGGGAAGGGTTGGAGAATCCTGAGGGAGATGGGAAGGGTTTGGAGAATCCTGAGGGGAAGGGGAAGGGTTTGGAGAATCCTGAGGGGAAGGGGCTCAGCCTGGAGAAAAGGAGGCTCAGGGGGAATTTGTGGCTCTGCACAACTCCCTGACAGGAGTGGCCAGCCGGGGGGGATTTGGGATCTCATCCCAGGGAACAGGGACAGGAGGAGAGGGAACGGCCTCAGGCTGGGCCAGGGGAGGCTCAGGGTGGAATTTCCTCATGGAAAGGGTTGGCAGGGGCTGCCCAGGGAGGTTTGGAGTGCCCGTCCCTGGAGGTGGCACCTGGAGGTGGCACTGAGTGCTCAGGGTGGGGACAAGGTGGGTATTGGGCAGAGCTGGGATTCGGATGAAGTTTCCCAAAGTCTTTTCCAGCCTCAATAATTGTGGGATTTTGTGCTTGCAGGAACCTGCTGGTGAACCTGGGGCTGTTTGCTGCCGGGGTCTGGGTCGCCCGGAACCTGACGGACATCGACCTGATGGCCCCGCAGCCTGTCCCATAGCCCGGTCAGTCCCGGGGAGGCTCCGTGGGCTGGGATCAGGGAATATCCTGAGCTGGAGGCATCCACAGGATCAAATCCAAGCTCTGACCCTGCGCAGACACCCCAAAATCCCACTGTGAGCATCCCTGGAGTGGTGTCCAAACTCTCCTGGAGCTCTGGCAGCCTCGGGGCTGTGCCCATTCCCTGGGGAGCCTGGGCAGTGCCCCAAACCCTGTGGGGGAAGAACCTTTCCCAATATCCATCCTAAATCTCCCAAATCCAGCCCTTCCTTGGGTGCTCACCAGAGTTTGGAGCTGCAGCCCCTCGAGGCTGAACAAACGCCCCAAACCCCACAGAACCCCCTCTCTACCCAGCTTTAAAGCAGAACCAGCTCCCCTGACAGTTCTGAATTCCCTGTTCCAGGAAGAAGCCAGAGCTGCTGGGAGCAGAGCTCGCCCTCCCACCAGGACGAGCTGTGGGGCTGCTCTGATCCCCCCAGGGCTGTTCTGACCCACCTGGAGCTGCTCTGATCCCCCTGGAGCTGCTCTGATCCCCCCGGAGCTGCTCTGATCCCCCCAGGGCTGCTCTGATCCCCCTGGAGCTGCTCTGATCCCCCTGGAGCTGCTCTGATCCCCCC